CCTAATATCTTTATCAATAGTTATTATAGCAAGGAACCTATGATGCTGCAAAAAAAAGTTGTCACAACTCACATAATGTGCTATGGGATACGACTCACCTAAATAATGTTGTGGAGTGGAAGGCCAACTGAATGAACTTTTTATTTCAACTGCTTAAGTCATATACTCCCACAGTCTCATAGAGGGAACTTTGAGACATTTTCCATCTTTTTCACCCAAGATATTCATCATTTTCTGGCTTATTTGGGAAGGAAGTTTATTCATCTTTTGCAAATCCAAAATCATCAATAATACCATTTTCAATATTAACATCAAAAGTCGTCATAGTATGAATAGTTTCATTACTAGTGAATTGTGCAAAAGGAAATTATTTTCAAAAAATTTGACATCTTTGGACACAAAATAGCTTTCAGTTTCCATATCATACAACCTTCATCATTTTTTCCCATAAGGATAATTTGCAAACACACATTTATTACTAGGACTAGAAAACTTGTATTTTTTCTGCCTTAATTATGAGCATAAGAATAGGACAAAATACCTTTAAGTGACTATTTGAAGGTGATTAGCCATATAATATTTCATAAGGATTTTTTTCCATCTAACAAATGTGGTGACGTTCTATTTATTAAATATTAACTGTTAAAACACATTTACCTCAAAAAGAGATAAGAAGATTAGTGATGAATACATTTTATCAATGTTTTTATTAGAACAATTAATATATAATTATCTTACTTAATCATTTATTTTTAACATAGTTTTGATAAAATATGATTAAATTGATTTGTTTATAAATTATTGATTAAATTATATATTATAACTAATTATTTATAAATTAGTACACAAATGATAAATTAAAGAAGAAAAATTCATTATTGGGTATTTGTTTAATTCAACATATTTTCATTTAGGGAATTACTTCCAAAAGGATCATTTATGATCTTGCCAATTTTCTCAACAAGGAACCAATACGACAAAAAAAATGTCAAATTGTAAGAAATTAACTTATATGAAATTCCACTCAATGAAGCATAAAAGTGTTGAGTGCAAATGTTGCATAACCACTTATGGAGAATTGGCGAGTCAAGCTTCAAGTGATCTAATTAATTTATTTTTGGACCTCGTATGGGTCTTGCACGATTTAATTTGTTCGTTATTTTAACCTTTTACAACTATTGCAATCAATGTAATTAAGATTGAAATTCTCAATTTTCATAACAAATTAATTTCTAAGTTTATGCAATTGTTTCTCTTAATAATATAATCGTGTTTTTAAGTCAATTGAATATAATGAATCAATTGATATAAGTAATTGGATCATGAATGTCTAGAACTCTTATGGATCTATTTTACTATTACATTTAGGTTTAGAAATAAATGACAATCAGAGCAACAAGTTGATGATTGGAGAGTTATCACTATATTTCATAGTTTATTTTTTAATTCAATGCATATTTGTTGTTTCAATTACTGATTTTTTTTTCTTTTTTAAATGCTTTATTTTATTGCATAATGTTATTACATTAATTTAGTTGCTTAGAGTACTGTTTTAATTAGAATCTTAGGTTGATGACTTTCGTTTACTATATTACAAATCAAAACTCACAAAATCCTCCCCTTTGTTAACTCTTTACAAGCGATAAGTAGGTCTTAAACAAGTTACTAATTCTCCTCAAGAATACGATATGGGTTTTCCCCTAGTTACTGTATTATTATTATTCCTATGTTGTATTGTTTGATCATATTTAGAAGACAAAATATGTTATGATCAATCATCTTGAAATTTTAAGGCATGTGCTACACTAAAAATGTGTTTGTGTTTCCTTTCAACTTGATCATTTTGTTGAGGTGTCCTTCTACAATATATTTGAAAAATAAGGTCAAGTTCAAGAAACTTTGTTGACAATCTTATAAATTTAGTTTCATTATCATTCCAAATTATCTTAATTTGTTTTTCATATTGTCTTTCTACCAAAGCAACAAAACTCATTAACATTATAGAAACTTCCCTTTTATCAAGTAAAACATAAATCCAAATAGTACGTAAATACTCGTCAACTATAGTAAAAAGTTAAGATATACCACAAGATGATATCGATAGGTTTCCTACAAATCACAATGAATTATTTCAAAACTGCTAGTAGTTTTTTCATTGCTCAAAGGAAAATTATCTTTACTTTGTTTTTTCCTTTTGACATATATCATAGAATTTAATTTCAAACTCACTATTTTCGTTGTTAATAGTTATGTAATCTTCAAAAAGGGATGTTTCATCCGCTTGTACCAAAGATCAATAAAAAATTCTTCATCAAGTTTGAACGTCTTCTCATGTCGAAACCCATTAAAATAGTAAAACTTATCATTTTCTTCATCTAGTCCAATTTAACTTCTTTGAAGTAAGAACTTATATAAAACATGTAGATTTTAGTGAATTGAATCATGTAATATGATTCATTCAATAATTGAGATACTAATATTATACTACATTATAGTTTAGGTACACACAACACATTGTTAAGTTTTATCCCTCCTTCAAGGGATATACTTTTCTTTCGATGCCACAACTTGTTGTCTATCTAACATTCTCATGGGCATCATTGTATGGTTCTGAATTATTGAAGGAGTTTCAAATTTTCTATCATATGATTGAAAGTTCCAATGTCAATAATTCAGTTTTCTTACTTATCATTTGTTATGTTCTGAATTATTGAAGGAGTTTCAAATTTTCTATCATATGATTGAAAGTTCCAATGTCAATAATTCATTTTTCTTACTTATCATTTGTTATGACTTTGATATTATAATAATTTTGAGAGAAATATATTTTTTTATTATAGGTTAAATGTCTTATATCTATACGTAATATTGCATCAAATCGTTATCAAATTAGAACCCACAAATCTCCTACAAAACTTCCTAATTTATTACAATAAATCAAATTACAAATCCCTTACTAATACTCATAATTTATTATAAGAAATCAAAATCTCATATAACTAGAATTAATCATAATTATTCCATAGACATAAAAAAACTCTTAAATTTTTTTTCAAGGTTTTGCATTTCTTGCTTGCGAGTTTTTTTTTTTTTTTTTTTTGTTGACGACCAAACAGATTATAGGGTGATCTCCATGGGCATTTTTGGTTTCGGTGAGCGATGACAACACTCATTGTGACCCATTTGTGGTTGTGAACATTTTTTCCTTATTGGATTAGAGGATTTTGGCATTTTTTGTGTGATTGAAGTTAGTGTTTTCTGTCTTTAGTATTTTGTTAAATTGAAGCTATGGATGTTTTTGGAGGATCTCAATCGTATAAATGTCTTTATTGGATTGTTATTGTTGAATGTTAATTGAGATTTAAATGTTCACTTGTTTAATTTTTAAATTAGTTTTTTTAAAATTTAAAATTCTTTTTTGTACCATGTGAATATTAATTGATGATTAATTTAATTGTTTTTGTTGTAGAAATTTAATTGATACTTAATTTTGTTTTGAGAAATGGACATTGAGTTAACATCAATTTCATCTGAGATTTAGTACAAATGATTAAGCATTAATTATTTGTATTAAATTTTGAATTGTCCAATTGGACCGTTTGGGAAAATTATTTTCACAATTTGTTAATACTACACATGTTAGTCTAATCTTAGTTTGGTGTAATTTCCATTCAAATCATTTTGTGTTGTTCTCTATGTTTATATATGATTATTGTGTATTTTTTGTCACCACCTTTATTTTGTGTACTTTGAATACTAATGTGAAATGTCATTAAAATGTTATCAAATTTAAGAAAGTAGACTTGGTTTGTACATGTTAGCAAAATATGAAAAATGTTTTACTAAATGTGTAAGCCTCACCTTCAATTACAATTATGAAAATCACATTATATAGTTGATGACCATAAAATTTGTAATATAAGTAATTATGAATTATAATTAGACGAATACATTTCACGTTATTGAAGATTTAAAATTAGAAGTTGAAGATTTTTTTATTTTATTTTACCATTTGCTCATGAAAATTTAGAGTATGTTAAAAGGATATATTATTGTTTATATATTCATTGTTTGAATAAGATAGGTTTAAAATTTTGGGATGTAGAAATAATTAAGTATAATTTAGATTTTTTTTATTATATGAGTTATATTTTATCCACACTTTGGATGTAGGTTTTGGTTATAAATAAAAACAAAACAATTTTTTTTGAAATATGCCAAAATTTATATTAGTATGGCACTAACTGACTTAAATTGTAGCGTTTTTTTTTTTTAATTTATCAAACGTTTATTTGTCTGATCCTCTGCTAAGGTATATTTACATAATTTTTTTACGAGGTTTGACATAAATTTATTTTATGAGGTAAACATTTATTCGCACTTTGTAATTTAAATTTTATATACACACTCTTATTAGAAGTAATTAAATTTACAACCAGAGTGAGCATATAAGTTTCTTGTCAACTAATTTATATTTTATCCACGTACAAGATTTAACTATGGTAGTAAAATATATAAAATTCCTAATCAATTTTGCTCCAAAATTTATTTGTCACTGGATGTATATTTTGTTCTCAGTTATTTGTGTTAACTTTTTGGTTTCCACAAATATATAATCAAACATATAGTTGTGAAAGTTATCTGAATAATCAAGTAAGAAACTTTGATCACAACGAACATCAATTAATATATATATTCACTAACTAAGCGGATACTTTAATAGTAATTCATAAAAAATAAAAACGCCATTCAAAACACATTACGATACGATTATTTCAATAGCCGAAACTACAAACCAGAGTGTTCATAAAAGAAATTAAAAACCACAGTATGGTAAAGGGTGAAGGCTCAGTTGTAGCGACCCCTGTAAGACACTTATTCCATTAGACATGCTCTTGAAAGAAACAACGCAGCTTCAGGCTATGGAGAACATTTACTGACACATAAACCTTAGATCATATGGAGCACCATGGATTATAATGGGGCTAGAGAGCTTATGTTCACGGAATGGGATAGACAACAATTTTTCCAGTTGCTCTGTTTGTTTCGAGATGGGAAAATGCTTCAACAGCCTGAGAAAATGGAAACGGGCTCTTGGGGTCGAGTATTGGCTTCAACTTACCACTCTCAAAATAGGGGTTTAGTTTCTCTAAGATACACCCATCAGTACTGAGGATGAAAAGGATAGCTGGAGGAAATCCAGGTGGTACTATGGTCACAACTTTCCCTCCATCTTTCAAAGCCTTGAATGCCTGTTCAGTTTGCCCTGTTTTCGAATTTAGGAAAAGAAGTTAGTGTTCCACAAGATACATGATCAACCTCATGGACCTCTGATAGAAGAAGGGTTTAAAATCTGACCTACTGTATCATACACCACATCAAACTTTTCAGGCAGGTCTTCAAAATTCTCCTTTGTATAATCAATTGGCAAGTCAGCCCCCAAATTCCTCAATAATTCTAGTTTCCTGGTGCTAGCTGTGGCGGCTACCTTGGATGCTCCATATACATGCTTGGCAAGCTGTGTCAACAAATTATACTCACTTAACATGAAATATTGGTATGGAAGTTTTCAGACCAAACGAAGAAAATTACTTTTTCTGTATTCAATATGTAGAATCTGAAGTTATTGAATACATAAAGAGTGATATACATTGTTCATAATGTGGCATGAAAACAGGAAATGTAAGTAATAAATAAAGTATAGCATTAAATTATGTTGAGGCTTGGTGCAGTGGTAAACATTGCTAGGAGATTCAAATTATTGAAACTTCCTCTTCACTTGTGGATGAGGGCTGCATGCATGCATTTACCCTCCACAATCCACCCAGCGAAAACCTTGCCAAAAGATAATATGTGAAGGGTCTATTGTAAATTAATATATATTGCAGAAAAAAATTTAAAATTATCTTCTCCAACTAAAATTAGTTCATGCATATTGATTAATGAATCAATAACAATACAGGAGGTCATGCTCATACCTGAATAACATGGGTTCCAACTCCACCAGCACCTCCAAGCACAAGGATAGATTTGCCAGCAGAAAACCCAGTTCGTTCAAGGCCTTCATAAGCAGTCTCAAGTGTTAAAGGAAGGCTAGCAGCCTCAGCAAAGCTCAGATTCTGTGGCTTGTGAGCCAATAATCTCTCTTCTGCAGCAGTGTACTCAGCCAAAGAACCAATCACCTTTGGATATTCCAAAGCTTTCACATTGATATCTCCGTAAACTTCATCCCCAACCTTGAATTTCTTCACTTCACTTCCCACTTTCACCACCACTCCAGCAACATCGTACCCCGGAGAAGTCTTCTCATCCACCCCACATAAATAAACACAAATAAAAAGAAGAAATTAAGGATAAACATTGTCTCAAAAATTTTAAATGTAAGAAAACGACAATGAAAAGTTGGTTGGTCAGAATTTGGATTTAACTTAATCACGTTGGAATTCAAGTATGAGCTAGAGTGGTATTTAAGTAGAAATGAGAAAATAGAATAGATTACCATTATAAAAGACTCACATGATTACCTTGCTATCGCATAAATGAATACCGATCTAATGGTAATCGCTCGCAAAATCCAACATATAGTTTGTGAGATCATAGTTACCTGTTCATATACATTATTTTGACTTCATTTCAGTCAATTGTTTCCAATACCTTTCTCATGGTTATTACTACTGACTTTGATGTGTGAATAATATTATACGTGACGTAGTAGCATATCTAGGATAAACTTTAATACAATTGTAGTTTAAATCTAATTCAATTTTATAATATCGGTTATTAAATTGAGATTCGCAATCCAAATATAAACATGAATATGTGATTTTCAACTCATACCCTTCACGTGAAGAACTAGAATTGAATATATAAGGCAATCATAAACTATTTTGATGTTCTCTCAAGTGAATTTAGATTTTTTCACCACATGTTTTGGTACAAAATTAAATATTAGATTTAAACGTTAGTTTAGATATTTTATATACTTAGTTTTGATTTAGCATATATTTTAGTTTTGGATATTTTGATTAAGTAGATATTTTAAGCAAAATGTTTGGGATTAAAAATTTTTACACATATATATCATTCATTTTATATAACGTAGAAAGCAATAGTCTTCAACTCTCTCAATCTCTTTGTTATCAAATTGGTATCAAGAACTAGAGTTTGAGAGTGACAAAGTTTGACGAGAGTGATGACCAGTCTAGCAAATAGTGTGACCTTGTCCTAGTTGACAAAAGTAATCAAATATGATAATTAAAGTCTCCAGGTGAAGGCCCTTCTTAGATCCCAAATAATTAGGAGATAATTGATAATGATTTTGAATAATTAGAAAACAACGAAGGAATTTCAGTAGCTGCAAACAAAGTGTTGAAAGAAAAGCGTGCAAAGGATAACGTAATCACGTAATCGTATATGTTGTACCAAGCTGTTAATGAATCCAACTTTGAAAAGATAGTAAGTGTTAAAACTTTAAAAAAAGTGTGTGATGCGTTAGAGAGAGCATACAAAGGTGATGATTGAGTTAAACGAGTTCAACTAAAAACACTACGTGGCAAGATGAAGAGTATGAGAATAAAGGAGTCAAAAGGAGTTTGTGAATACATCACGTGTATTGAAACTGTGGTGAATCAGCTTAATAAGAATGGAGAGACGCTTTCTAAAAGTTGCATTGTGTTGAAACCAATGAGTACTGGAGGAAAAAAAAGAAGGATGAGGCAACCATTCAAGCGCTCCAAAGTGAGACAAATGTGAAAGAAGAAAAAGCTCTCTACTCTCAAAGCACTCGAGGTAGAGGACGAGGACATAATAGTTGAGGCCAATGTTGTCGAGGTCGTGAGGAGAAAGAAAGAACCCAACAAAATTTGCATGGTAGAGGACGTGGTCGAAGAGGAGGTCAGTCGATAAGTCACTCAAATGTTGAGTGCATTAAGTGTGGCAAATATGACAAATATGCAAAGGATTATTACACGAACAAGTGTCATAATTATGGTATGGAAAGGCATTTTGCAAAAGCATGTCTAGCTGAAAAAAGGTGGAAGAGACTTATCTCATAAAGGAGGTAGAAGCGATAGTTTTGATAGTCAATCTTAACTCGATAAATAACAATAATAAAGTTCGGGAAGATACTAATCACAACTCGGTATGGTATCTAGATATAGGTATAAGTAACCATATATGTGAGGACGAGTATCTCTTTAAAGAATTAAAGAAGATAGAGGTTGGAAGTATGTTGTTTGGAGATGCCTAAAAGTCTTAGTAAAAGGTTGAGATACGATCGGTTACTTGTAGATAGATGACCTAGTTGAGTTAATCCAAGATGTGCACTATATTCCTGATCTCAAAAGTAACATTTTGAGTATGAGACTGAAAAGAGGATAGTCGATATTCATGAAAAATCGAGTACTATCATTGAAGAGAATACGCTCGTTAAGTTGATCGCCTGAGTTGAGATGGGAAAGAAAAATGTATAAGCTATAGTTGAAAAACATTTGGGAAAGATGTATGAATTTGGTAACCTGCATTTTTGTGGTCTTACCGAGTTGATTCATGATAATGATCATGATGTTGGTCATGATGAAAATCAAGATCTAATAATGAACAAAGTCGAGAACGAAACAACATAGTCAATAATAGATCATGGATCTTTGACTCTTTTCGACATGAAGTCAAACTTGTTCGAGCTAACTCTGAATAATATATTCTAAATCAACCTTATCCAAGCTCATTCATCATTGTATTCTTTTAAGAATAAAACTACAAAGGGGAATCCAAAAAAGCAGAAACATATTGGGGTTGGAAAGTGTAAGAAAAATATTAAGAGAGTTATGGACAAAAAAAATCCAGAGTTATAAAATGCAACAAATGGGTTATCAAGCTATACTCAACTATTGGTGTGAAATATGTATTGAAAAAGGAGAGAGATGAAGGGTTGACAACAAGTGGGATCGGGATCGGGATTAACGATGAAAGAAATAGGAAAGTAGTTCAAATCTATCTTTGATTGATCTCTAATTTATCTGAAGCATTTAATTTTACGCTTGTTGGAAAATTAAATTTACGCTTTAAAATGTTAGTTTAAATATTTTATCTAACCAAATATTTATGGTAGTTTTTATTTAAAAGATATTTATGTTACTTTTGGATATTTTGATTATGAAGATGTTTTAGGCAAATTATTTGGAATTAAAAATCTAAGTAATTGAAAAAAAAAACTGATTCAGAATCAATAACACAAGTCAATTGTCTTGAGCTTTCTCTAATATTTGTTGTCATGTTTAGTGTAAAGGTTACACGTCAATGAAGTTAATAAAAAACTTATCTCTTTCTTTATGAACAAGGTTATCCTATAAATAAATATAAGAGATTTTAAGTGAGACAAAAATAAAAATAAATAAGTTTCACAAAGCCTGATCTATTACATCATTACCTAATAAAGTATCAGTTGAGGACAAGAATGATAGTAGAAACACACACACAAAAAAAAAAAAAATCAATTTTAATGTTACGAAAACAAAGAAAAAACCGAAGCAAAAGACAAATTGGGGGTGATGAAATGATCTTACTTACGGGTAAAGGGGAATCAGAGTTCTTGAAATAACCTTCCATCCTCTTATAATCAATGGGGTTAAGGGAAGCAGCAGCGACCTTGATGAGGACCTGATCATCGCTGACCGGAGGTAAAGGCACGCTGTGGTTAAACTTGAGAACTTCGCTGGATTTGCCATATTCCGAGTAAGTCCAAGCTTTCATGTGAGAAGGTATTGATATTGCAGCCATGGTTGGAAATGAACCGCCGTGAAAGAATGAAGGAAAACTAAGAAATGAAGTGGAGTGAGACGCAGAGCGAAGGAGAAAGTGGGTTTTGTCAATATATAACAGCATTATTGATACACTGGCCTGGCCTACAAGAGCACGTGTTTAGCATGATTATCGGTTGTTTGGGAATAATAATTCTTTGTTATTGTGTTTTTCATCCAAAAAACCTAGAGGTAACCACATGTAACTGAAATTTATCTGTTCTAACTTATTTTTGTCATAATATTTTTATAATTATACTGTTTATTTTTTACAATAAAAATTAGTATTTTAACAGTAACAAATAAATATATATCCAACTATGGAAAAGTAAAGAAAAAAAATTATACGCAGCGTCATAAATTTTCATTGGAGAAGATTGAAAAGAATCTTTTTCCCATTATTATGAAACTCTATCATTTGAGGATACCTGTATATTTATTTATTTACTATTATTATTTTAAAATCGTAAAGATTTTAATGAGTACAGTATTAATATGTCGTTATCCCAATTATTTACGGGCATTGATGAAATTTGACTTCTCAATCGGAATCAATGGTAGGTAGAGTTTAAATAAAAATTCAGATTAAATTGCTAGGTAGAGTTTTTTTGTTATTTAGTTTTGGAGTAGCCATAAGTTGACCATTTATTTGTTACATAATTTAACAAATATTATATATATATATATATATATATATATAATATTTATTAGATTAGAGTCAACGTTATAACAATTATAAGCAGGGAATGTGATGGAAAACAAGATAGAAGGAAATTTCTCATATTAATAAATAGGTTATTACATAGACGGTACATAATATGAAATCTAAAACATCTACTAAATAATTAAAGAAAATAAAAAATAAGTGAAAATTCTTCTTCCAAAAATTTGATAAAAACTAATATTAATTTATTTCTTTAACAATCACCCTCTTGAAACAAAAAATTCTTTATAAAAGAAAAAAAAATTATACACTCTGTAAGGTATATGCGAATTGTTCTTCACTTTTATAATATTAATGGTGTCATAATTTTTGTATTCTCTTAAGAAAAAATAATTCACCTCTATATATTTACTTCTCTCACGTAACATTATGGTTTTGAAAAGTTTAATATTAAACTATTATCAGCTAGTTGAACAATTTAATATTAAACTATTACTATCTTGTCGGACAATCTATAGTTGAAATATTATTGTTATCTGAAATTTATTTCATTAAGAATCTTTCTTATAGTAAAGGGTGGATCTATAGAGAGCCTAGAAGAGGCCACGTCCCCTTTCCCACCCAAAATTTTATTTATTTTTTGATATATAATAATTATTTTTTAATAAATTAATAAAAAGTATGTTTTAAATATAAATAAACTTTAAATTTAAATTTTTTATTTTTTTTATTTATAATAAAAAAAAATTCTTTCTCTTACACAATTGTTCGCTTACACTTTTTTCTCTTCATTTCTTCTATATTTAGATCTTTATCTTTTCTTCTTTCACCTTTTAAGTTTCTCATTTCAACTTTTTTTATCATACATTTATTTTATCTTTTTACATTTTTTTTCTTTACTACTCATTCACTTTTTCCCTTTCAAGATTTCACATTACAGCATAAAAATTGTATTTTTTTATTCACGTTGAAGGCAATAAATTAAAAAAATAAACAAAATACCTCAGAATAATTTTTGAAGTGAAGAAACATCAAATAAATTTATTTTTATTATTGTTTTATTTATTATTATAAAAAATTATCATGTGCACTGTAATATAAAAATATGAAATATTAATATAATTTTTTTATTTATTATAAGTTAGTTAGTTATTTTAATTTTATGATGTTTTATTTTGATGTTAAAATATGAAAAAGAAAATTGAGATTGAATTTTAAAGATGTCTAAAAATAAAATTATAGACTATTTTTTAAGAGAAAATAGTGGATAAATGATGAAATAAACTTTATTTTTTAAGTTCAATTAGTAATGTTAAACATGTTAATGAGTATTTTATATAATGTATTTATTTTTATATAATTAATTTGTATATGGTGACTCATTTCATATAAAATTTATAGTTTCACCCTTATAGTCAAGTGCACATGTTGTAACAATGACAAATTCAACTTCAATGTTTGATGAAGTAATAATAGATTCCTTATTAGATGATCATGAGACAACACAAATTTCCAATATAATAACTTAACCAAAATATTTTTCTATCATCTTGATCACCCACGTAATCACTATTAGTAAATTATAATAAATTAGATTTTTTACTTGTTTTATAAAACAATCCAAAATCTCTAATTTCTTGTAAATAGTGAAATATTCTCTTTTCAACCAATAAATGCATTTCTATAAGATTTTCTATATATGTATAGATCATACTTAGAAAAAACACTTATGTCTAGTCATATTACACTTAAATACAATAAATTGACAATAATTTACTTATAAAGTGTGTTGTCAACCTTCTTTCCTTCACAATTCTTATAAATATTTAGGTCATGCTCTAATGAAGTGTTTGTCTTACATATTTCTTTTGGCGAATAAAAAATTTCATTAGTTGATTGAACTACTTCTATGCTAAAAAAAGTAATGCATCAAGGTAGAATAAATTATTTAAAACTTATCCATTATAGATTTCTGAAAGTTCTCAAACATAAATTTGTAATTTCTAGTAAAATATAAGATCGTTAATATACAAGCTTGTGAATTAAAAAAAAAAAAAAAAAAGTGAACTCAGTGATATTTTGTGAACCCAACTTTAAGAAAATAAGCTTAGATGCAATATGTCATGCTTGTGGAGCTTGTTCCAACCTTTAAAGAAATTTCTTTAATTTATATACTCTATGCTCACTTCCAACCTTGACATAACATGATAGTTGATAAAAAAAAAAAATATATATTCCTTCAAGTGTTCACGCAAGAATGTTAATTTAACATCTAATTAGTAAATAGGTCAACCATTTTTATTAGTCATAGCAACCATTAACTTTATTGTGTCATCTCTTGCAACTAGAGAAAAAAACTTTTGTATTATCAATCTCATATTGTTGTTTGCATTCATTTGTCTCCAATCGAGCATTGTACTTGTCAACTTCATTATTTTCTTTCAACTTTGTCTTAAACACTCATTTTACACCAATGATATTGTACTCTTTAGATATATCATATAGTTCCTAGGTATCATTTCTTTCAATGGAATCAATTTTATCATCCATTGTTTTTCGCCACTTTTCTTTCTTCATAGAATTCTCATATGTTGACCAATCACAATATGAAAAATAAGGGAAAATGAGTAATTGAATCATGAATTCCAATTACCTGAAAATCATCCATCCAAGTTGACATTTTTCTGATGTGGGATAATTTTTCTTCATTGTTATGATTCCTGGAAGAAGTTTCATTAATTGTTGGAGCAATTCTTTCAAGTGTAGAAAGGATTAAAGTGATTTTAATATTTCAATTAATGTTTTTACTAATTTTTTAGGTTATAATGCTTTCCTTCATTACTTTCATATTTAATGTTTTCATAGATTAATGTATTACTTTAATTAGATTATAGATTTAATGTTTTCATCACTTGCACTTTTAATGTTTTGTTTAGTGTTTTATTAGTATTCAATTTATTTCCTTGATTTCAATTTTTGTCACTTTAGTATTCTACAAAACTTCAATATTTTTTGTTTACATTATTGTTTTACATTAGATTATGGATTTATTGTATTTCTTTATTATTTTTTACACCAAAACCTATACCCCCTTCCTAGCTCTTAACATTCGTAAATAAAGTTTATAACACATTATCAATGCTCCTAAAAAATATGATCTATGTTTTCCTTAGTTAATGTGTTATTATCTTGTGTCGCATTGTTTGATCACATCTAGATGACAAGATGTACAGTTGATCAATTACAAATTAACTATACAATTAACTAACATAATTGATCAAATGAAATTTATGATAATGATTTCCTATTTTCCGTGTAACTTTTTAAATTGTGAGTTGATGAATAAATTTCAATAATATAAGGCATAGTTAAAGCAATGAACAAGAAGATGTATAATAATATAACAATAATATTTGCACCTATAATGTGAGGATTATTACATGTTGTATTTCTATAAAGAATAGTGTTCATTTGATTCTCACATAAAATTATATGTTATTGCATTGTAATATAAATTAGAAAAAATGGTTAAAGCTTAGGCGATGTGGAAAATCTTTTTTCTTTCGATCAAAAATTCGCTATTTTAGATATAGAAGCTAATACTCCAACCACTAAACTACTAGAATTTTTCGATAATAACTTACAAATAAATTATATTTATATACAAATAAATATATATATGTGTAAATATATAAATATAAAATATATATATACAAATATATTTATATAGTTATATATTTATATGTTGGATGTGAGGGTGCGCTCAAGGGTGAAAGTGAGATCGACTCTCCCTTGAGTAAAAAGTGGTATTTTTCGCTTGAGCGAATGACGCGTTTCCTAAATTTATTTTATATCATTATATAAATAAATTATAAAGATTATATTCTGTCATTAAATTACAAACTCATATAAAGAAACTCGCTCACAAATTTGACATCCAATTTTAAAAACTCACTCGACATACACTTTCACCTTCGAGTGTGCCTTCACATCTAATATATAAATATATAAATATATTTGTATTTATATATTTTATATTTATATATTTACACGGATATATATTTATTTGTATATAAATGTAATTTATTTGTAAATAATTATTAGAAAATTTTAGTAGTTTAGTGGTTGAAGTATCATCTTCCAATTCTAAGGTACTTGGGTTATAATCAAGTAATGATTCAAACTTCTTAAAAATATAAATCATTTTGATTTCATTAGTTTGGAACCTTTAATTTGGTTACAAATATAAAAAAATATTTGTAAATTATTATCGGAAAATTCTAGTAAATCAAATAATAATTCAAACTTCTAAAAAATATAAATTATTTTTATTTCATTAGTTTGAAACCTGTAATTTGGTTACTGATAACACATATTTTGTATTCACATTAAAAATTTTATTGTACCTTCTAAGCATTTTTCTATATCTCGGTGTTTGAATTTTATTTTAAGTTTTTTATCATAAGTAATAAATTGGACCTATTTTGAATAAATATATAGATTTCGCATTTTTCACTAATTTGACCTTTACCCATTATTTTTGTCGGAACTTTTTATGTCGATTGTATTATTCTTATTTCATTGGATTCCTTAATTCTAGTGATTCAATTTACATATATGAAACATGAATTTTGGAGTTCAATTATTTTTTAATCAACTTTAGAATTTGAGATAGAAATACTACATTTTTATATAAATATATCAATATATAAATATATCAAAATATATAAATATATTTGTATTTATATATTTTATATTTATATATTTATACTTGATATATATTTATTTGTATATAAATATAATTTATTTGTAAATTATTATCGGAAAGTTCTAGTAGTTTAGTGGTTGGAGTATCTAAAAAATATAAATCATTTTGATTTCATTAGTTTGGAACCTTTAATTTGGTTACAAATATAAAAAATATTTGTAAATTATTATCAGAAAATTCTAGTAGTTTAGTGGTTGAAGTATTAGCTTCAAATTATAAGGTATTGGATTCTAATCCTGTTTGTGACAATTCAAACTTCTAAAAATATATAGAAAAAATATAAATCATTTTGATTTCATTAGTTTGGAACCTGTAATTTGGTTACTGATAACACATATTTTGTATTAACGTTAAACATTTTATTTTACCTTCTAAGCATTTTTCTATATCTGAGTGTTTGAATTTTATTTTATTTTACGTTTTTCATCATAAGTAATAAATTGGACCTATTTTGAATAAATATATTGATTTCGCATTTTTCACTAATTTGACATTTACCCACTATTTTTGTCGCAACTTTTTGTGTTGATTGTATTATTCTTGTTTCATTGGATTCCTTATTTCTAGTGATTCAATTTACATATATGAAACATGGAATTTGGAGTTCAGATATTTTTTAGTCAACTTTACAAGTTGAGATAGAAATACTAAATTTTTATATACGAATTATATTTTGTTATTTGACTTCTTCTAAGACAAATTTCACCTAGAATCTAATTTCACTTATTTCCATCTCCTATAGTGTTTTATGAACACTTTAGGAACAAAGAAACGCTAACAACAACAATTACACAACCATTACATCAAAATTACACACTTTAATTGAGTTTTCGTTTGTGCAAATGGATACTCAAATCGTGGAAGGATAAATTGTTTCTTTCAATCAACAAATTAAAGATCATATAAATTACAGAATTGATTTTGCACTAATTGATTCAAATAATCCAATTGTTCATCTTTTTTTAATAATAGAATTGCATGTTATGATTATGATTTGTTTTACAATGTTTTATAATTCAAATTAGGTCTCAATTAAAGTTTGATTTGATATTCAATTACGAATTAGGTTAAACAACTGTTTGATTTAATTTGTATAAATTGTTTAAATTCGATTTGATGATCGTTAGATACAATGATCTTTGAATTCATATGCATCTAGAGTTGTAGATTGATGTTTTAATATTATCTCTTGTAATTTTGTTTTTTGTATGCTTTCATTTTATACCAATCTGGTTTGAATTAGATCTCTTGTGTTTACATTCTTGTATTTTTATTTTCATGTGTTCAAATTTTGATCTTTTAATTTCGGTTTACATTTAGATTTTGGTTTCACTTGAGTTTTATATTTTCTAAAATCCAAATTTCACTTTTACGAAAAGAACATTACAAGATTAATACAATTAAGAAGAGGAAAAATAACACAAGACTCACTCATGGTTAAAAGAGTTTCAAATGTCAATCTTGCTTACAAAGAGGATGAAGAACACAACCATGATGTAATGGAGGTCCTCGATTCCAATTTGTGGAAAGAAAGAGAAATAAATGGTTGCATGAAGGTCACACTACGGAGAAGTAAAAAGGAATGAAAAACTTTCACTTTTTGCGAAGTAGAGAATGTAAAAAGTGAAAGGCCCTAAAAATGAAACAGTTGAGACCATAATTATCTGCACAAGAAGAAGAAATTTGTCGAATAAAGAAGTATAATGAACGACTAGAACACCAATTTCAAGATTTTTAATCGTTTGTGGGTATGTCTGTTCAATTCATACCTCCCAATACACAATCCCTCATTTTAGTAGCACACCAACAAAACCAACAGGATAGTCAACAACAACTTTAACAATAAGAAGACAACCAAGAATAGTAGGACAAGTCACACGAAGAAAACAACACAAAAGAACAACAACATTCTCCTTACTACTTCCAATATTAAATATTTTTTCAAATAATATTGTATTTGATATTATTCTACTTTGTAACTATACTTACTCTTATATATAATGTTTGATTATAGATAATTTGGTTTGAATTTAGATTAATTTGCATTATGTTTGAGTTGAATAATGATTATTTTGGATTACATTTGAGTTGCATTGTAATTGAATTGGATTTGAAATAGTTTAGTTGGATTTAGTATTGGATGTAGTATAAATATGTGTTATGTAGGGAAATTAGTGCAATAGAAAACAAAATGGATTCTAGAAGAAATTTGGATATTATCAACGAATCTTATCGAAGAAAAATCCATTGATATTTGGTAAAGGTAATTATCGATGACCTAAGCTTTTGATTAACAATGTAGAAATATAACATTCATGATATCTTATATACACAAAAAAAGTTTTATTGATACCTGCAACATTTTTCAATAGTTATCATTTAGTAGTTATTGACTGGAAACTCTTAATATTTATCTAAAAGCAAAATTTTTAATGAATTTATCCATTAATAATATATATTTTTTGATTAATTTTTATTGTTTTCCAACATATTATATTGATTGATAAATCCAATTTTTCTTATTGGTTCTTTAAATAACTAATATAATAAGTGTTTATTTTAGATATGAAAATGTCATTACATAATATTTTACTATGATTATATTACATAATATTTTACTATGATTATGTTATATGATGTAATGAGCTACATAAATTAGTTTTTTTACATTAATGACCAATCTCCTTCATGATAAGAAAAGATTGGTGAATCAACAATTTTTTATCCAATATTGTATTAAAGAGAATAGAAGTATATATGTTAAATTAAAAACAACTGCAAAAATAAAAAAGGGTAGAATGTATGAACATTGATTACAATTTGGATTTTTATATTATTCAACATGTTTCATACCACATTTTTGACGAAAGAAATTCAAATTCTAAGAAATCATTGTATTAATTGCACAAATATCTAATCTATGAAATAATAACTACAAGAAAAAAATGATTTTTTAAGAAAAATTTATTGTATACTTTAAGATATTCCTCAAATATTAAAAACTTTATTTTTATTTTAATTGTATTTATACAATGTTTTTTAGTTGATATATTATTTTACTTATATTTTAAATATATGAATGAGTAATTATAGATATTAAAAATTGTTAATTTTTAATTTAATATTTTTCATTTTAAATTCTCTCTCTCTCTCTCTCTCTCTCTATATATATATATATATATATATATATATATATATATATATATATTATATTTAACTATGCAGATACTATAATTATTTTAATAACAAATATTAGAAAGCGGACAAAAACAATATATATCAGCGACGAATTTGCTATGGGATAAATGTGGAAACTTGATATGGATCTGAGAGCAAATAACTACACCATTTTTAGTGGGATAATCCCTTGTATGTCTTTCTTTTTACAATATTTATTATTACATTTCTCACATTCTCTCATTCTTTTTTCCCCTAAGTCTCTGTTCCTTACCGACAAAAACCCAAAATGTGAGAAAAGTCACCCATCACCCAAGTAAAGTAAGCTAAATAAAATATCATCTTCATAGATGCCAGTTCCCCAAGCTGTGAATATACCTGTACAAATAAAATTAACACAAACAAATAGAATTTCCCTTTCTGTACAAAGTGAGTCTGCTTTCCGAAAATATGGGGAAATTTCCAATCAAGAAAGGATAAAACTTAATACAGCGTCGCACATGACAGTTGAACACCTCACACACTGTATTTATAAATTATCTAAACCTTACAATGATAGAACCTGAGACAAGAGATGCCAAGGCAAAGGCCACAAAAGCAACCAAAGACAAAGCCACAGATGCATTTGCCATGTAGGGGAACTTGTCCTGGCCCCAATTGGATTCCCATTCATAAGTTCTAGTTGCTGCCGATGATGATGCTGACATTAGAAGGTATGTCAAGATCTGCATTTGAAAACCAGAAGTTCAGCAACTGGTTAGTATGCAAACAATGAAATTACAGAATATCACTTTTAAGATACATAATAAATAGGGAAGTTTGTAATCAAGGATTAGAAGTTCAATTCGAGCAAGTTTGGAGAGTAGAAGGGAACGCATATATAATCTTGGGCATCCTTTTGTGGTAGAAGAAATATCCATCCATATAATTAGTGATGTGTGATAATTCGTAGAAGAGTGATAAGAGAGGGATCATAAATCAGCACTCATTATGGTATGGTTAATACTATCACCATCATGGATATATAAAGTGCAGTCCTTATTTATAACAGTCACTTGATTTTTATTCGGCTATCTTTGAAAAATATTTTTCTATAATGACAGTTGACGTATTAAAACATATAGTGTCTGTTTAGCTTTCAGTTTTATTCAACTGAACTGACGTTGAATTCGATCTAACATAGCAATGTTTCTCCGTTTATGGCTTGGAAAGGGCAATATCTCCGTTCAAAGCTGTTCTAATGGATCTCCAAACACACTTGGGGTAGTTGAAATAACGTGTTCAAAGAATTATAACAGAGGTGGGTAAAATTTGAAACCATTATCTATGTGAATTGGTAAAACGGTTAAATCTATTTTCGTTTTTGTGAAAAGGCTCATAACCAACTTTTGGCGTCCAATAAACTAATTAATTGAACACAAAATACACTATTTAACAGATTTTTTTTCCTTACTAATCACTGATAATTTAAGAAGTAGAGCACTGGTCTCCACGACAACCACTTTACCAAAAGAAACTTAGATTAAACCCTTGAACAACTCTACCCATCTTAAGTCAAACATTTTTATTCTAGGAATTTAAAATTCTTCTGTAAGTAAAATAAATAACATGACGTTTTGTAAAGTCAGGACTTACACAAAGTTTCTAAAGCCCAATAATTAAAATCCTAAAGCCTTACTTCTATATTAATCCTTACTATTGTTTGAATCAAGCATTTGTCATAAATAGAATTTGACCATTTGAAGATTTAAAAGTTAACACGGTCTATAAATATCTTTACTTCACACTTTTTATCGTTTTCACATAAATACATTTAAAAACAGGTTTAAATATGTTTTTAATTGCTTAAATTTGAAATAAATTTATCTTTGGTCTTTCAAAAATATAAAATTGACTTCTTTAGTCTTGTAATTTGAAAAAAAAAAAAAATGCTTCTAGCCTTTTTTTCCCTTAAAATCATTAAAGATTTTTCTTATATGACTAGCAATTATAAGTTGTTTACATGACAGCCTACTTATATTCTTGCATTCTTATTATCTAAGATCCAATTATTTTCCTTTCGTACTCGTTTTGATTTTTATGAACAAAAATTTGGGTCGAGGGGCTAAAACAAGTTTGTTTCAAATTACAAGGACTAATTACTTTTAAATTGGAAAGATACAAAACAAACTTAACTTAAATTGAGGTAATAAACATATATTTAAGCATATAAAAATACTCCAAAATTAAAGGACATAACTTTTTGTTGTCCCATTTCACTGTTTTGACAGAACATTATACTATCATAATAACATAAAGTTCGGCTTCAGAGAAACCAAAAATGATTTTCGGAAACCTTTTGTGTTGAAAGAATTCTTACAATAAAGAAAAGTATAGATAGGGTATGTGTTAAAAAAAAAAAAAATGACCAACTTTAAAGAAAGCAAAGGGCAACACCAAAACAGGGAAAGGTAGTAAAAAGGTATCCCAAAGGTGTTTAGCTTTCCAGCATAAAATTTGGCTGAAGATGGATGGATCATTGGTTTTCACAAACTAATATTCCCAAATCCCAAACCCATCAACTCAACTAAACTATAGTATTGTGGTTTCTCATATCATTTCATTACTATCATTATTCACCACAAATCACGCAAGCCCCGATCAGCACTACAAATTTCAGCTTCGATAAATTCAAAAACCAAGCATGGCATCTTTCGATAGTAAACTAGTTAATACATAGAACACCCTCAACATCAGAGAGAAAAGTGTAGTGGCTTTACCTGATCCAGTGCGAAAGTGAAATAACCCCTAAGGTGGTGATCGACTGCGTGCTTTCCCGTAGTCAAGAACAGCCATAGATCACATATCTGTAGCCCAGAATGCACAAACCCGATCACATTCACTGACAAACTATACCTGCAAAATCACAAATACGACATAAAAAACCAACCAATTAACTCATGATTACAAAAAAAAAAAAAAAAATTGCTAGAATCGACTTAGTAATATATTACCTGAATTCCTTGTAGAAATAGAAAGAGTCCAGAGCCCAACCCTGTTTCTTATCAGCGGCCAGCACCGAGAAAGAAGCCAAGCAGAAAACAAAAGCGGTTATTCGAAGACCCAACAAGAGCTTGCTCCACGTCGCAATTTTTTTCGACTTTAACAAAGCGGACACATCCGGTCTCAGTCGTCGATTACCCGCGCCGCCAGTGGCTTGTTCAACGTCTTTCACGAAACCCTCCTCGGCACCGGGATCGACCTTGGTCACCACCGCGGGCTCCACCTGGAACCGGTGAGCCGTCACCACAGGCGGAGAGAGGCGCTGGTCGGCGATCGAGAAGTGGCCTTCGGAAATCGACGAGTCCGACGACGAATCGGGAGGCGGCTTTCGAGGCGGCGGGGAGGAGTGGCCATCGGAGATGGGGGAGTCGGAGAGAGAATGGAGTGGCGGCGAAGGGGATTTGCGGGTTCGGAGGGAAGGAGAACTGAGAGTGATGGATGGTGAGGGTTCCGAAACAGACTGGGATTGATTTTCTTCTTGTTTGCCCTCTGAATCCTTTTCGGTTGGTTCCGTTGCTTTTTCTTCAGAGTTCTCTTTCTTCATTTCTTTTTCGGCTGTGCTTTTCTTGGAAAAAGGAAATCCCAAACCCTCACTCACAAGTTTGAATAGCGATGTCTCTCCCATCGAGAAAGCACTGTTTTACTGTTCTTTTTCTTCAATAACTTTTAGTGCTAATACATCATCACCATCATGCTAATTATCATCTCTAATTATGTTGACACCAATTAAGAACATCATTTGCACCACACTAACAATTCAACTAAAGAAAATAATAATAACAAATTGTTGTCCCACTATATCTATCAATGATGTATTTTTTGTTAGCATTAAACTCCACTGCCACGATAATTCTCGTAACTTCTGCAAAGTTGATTGAATACTAAGGAATAATGAAAAAACAACCTAAATTTGATGCCCTTTGAACCCTGAAAATCCCACCACATGCAACAATGTCAGTGGTCTCTTTAACGGCCCATCAATCTTACATTTCACCTTCACCCAATAATATAGTGGATGAATCCATCAAACAGGCACAACAGGGTCTTATGTAGATGGCTATCAGCCATAAAAGTTGTAAAAAAGATGAATCAGAAATAGTAGATCTCGTAGCACCAGTACACACATTTTCAGCTACATTGGACTCATATTATCATATTTCAACTTACCACTTTAAAACAAATAGAATTGACACCAGATATGTTCAAAAAATCTTTGTTACATCACATGTTTAATGGAAGATATTTCTATGTTAAACTAGGATGAGGTCTTGGGCTTGTTTGTGATTAAAAGAAGGCTTTGATCATGACCAGGCAAGGTACGGTCTTCTCTTTTGGACTCCACTATAGGCTCTCCTTTGTGTTTCTCTTTATTGTGTCGTCATGTCTAAGTCTCATATAGCTAAGATAAGGCTGTTTTCAAGCCTTTATATGCCCATGAGTTTGCCTATTGTGCAGCTAAATAAAATGAGTGGTCGTGTAGTTCTTCCTTGGAATGAATCTTGCATCCGTGTGTGGCCGTATGGTTGAACTGTAGCCTTGACTCATCCATGTGCTGGTCTTTGTGGTTGGTTGCTTGGACCAAGTGATTTTCCTACAAAGAAATAATGAACAATTTATTTTTACAAGTTAGATAGATCATGCGAAAAGTTACAAGTCGCAAATATTAAAGGTAGGACTAAACCCATCAGGTGGAATATCTAATTTATATGCATGATCATTGATTTTTTGGAGGACATGGAATGGACCATCTCCTCTGGAACTGAGTTTTGATTTTCTTTAAGAGGGAAATTTTTCCTTTCTCAAATGTAAACAAACCTAGTCCCCCTCCTCAATTACAACTTTTTTTTCCTATGTTTTTGTATTCAACATATTTTTGAGTTTGTTGTTCAATATGTTCTTTAATTTTCTCTTCTTTATGAAAATAATAGGTAATATCCAAAAGTGGTAGTAAATCAAAAGGATTCAGAGGATTAAAGTCATAACAATCTCAAAAGGAGAAAGACTAGTAGTTTTGTGAACTACTCGATTATAAAAAAATTCTACATGAGGAAGATGTTCATTCCAAGACTTTTTTATGCCTTTAATATGAACCTATTTACAACTTCGGCTTGCCCATTCGTTTGAGGATGACACGTGGTTGGAAATAGGAGTTTAGTTCCTACTCTTTCCCAAAGTGTTTTTCATAAATAACTTAGGAACTTAACATCCTTGTCAGACACTATTGTTTTGGGTAATCTATGCAATTTGACAACTTCTTTGAAGAAAAGTCTTGCAATATAGCTAGCATCATCTACTTTGTGGCAAGGAATAAAGTGAGTCATTTTGCTAAAACGGTCCACTACCACAAAGATAGAGTCATATTCCCTTTGAGTTCTTGGAAGTCTAAGTACAAAATTCATACTGATATCAACCCAAGGGGTGCTAACTATGGAGAGGGACGTGTATAATCCATGAGGCATTACGTTGGATTTAGCTTGTAAACAAGCTATGCATGCACCAAGAGCAAAACCTTTAGACATCCATTCTCATATGAGACCAATAAAATTTATTTTTCAAGAAACTTAGAGTTTTATCAACTCCAAAATGGCTCATGAGCCCCCCTCGTGACTTTCTTGAACCAGAAGCTTCCTAATGGATCCTTGAGGAATTCATAGTTTTCCAATTTTATACCGGTATACATCAAAGGGCTTTATGAGACACTTAGCATAAATGGATGATAAATGCATGTCTTGTTCATACAATTCCTTTATGTTATTGATGAAGTGGTTATTGCTTCCTAAATCTCATCAAAGAATATGCAATGAAAATAATGCAATGTTAGGGTTGCCTGGGTCCTCGAGGAGAATTGTTTAGTTTTGTTTAAACCTTAATTTTCAAATGTCAAATGCTAGAAAATAGGGATATTTTATGATTTTTAATACAAAAAAGTAAAATGAAAGTAGTAAACTAAAGAACTAATTGAAATTAGTAAACTATTCTACTAAAAATAGTAAATGAGAGCAATAAACCTAATCTATCAAAGCAATTAATGAAAGCAAAACATTAAAGGACATTGTATAAATCGAATCTAAAAAAGTTATAAATGCATAACAGTAAAGTATGGAATTAAATCTAGTTTTATAAAGCTATAAAGTTTTCAAGAAACATTGTAAACTAAAGTTTGAAGTAAAAAACAAAATCAAAGTGACAATTAAAATGAAAATGAATGCAGAATAGTGAAGAATATAATAGAGAAATTGTGTTGATTCTCCGATCATAAACTTGTTTTTATGATTATCATTGATTTCTAGGATTTGTCTTGCTATCACAAAAACAAATCCACGCCAGTTCTAAACAATTACAATCTAATTGAAATATGTTATCACAACTCAATTCCTAAATAAAGCAATCACTTAAACCTAGAAATTAAATTATGATGTAAAAGAGACATTTAATCAAATAACCTCAATTATATTGACTGTAGTGGATTATAATCGGTTAGAATCATTAAGAACCAAATCTACACCATAGAAAACAAGTTGTAATTGGAAAATCAACAACTAAAACGAATTAGAACATGATGAACAAGTGAAAAACCAAAAGCAACATGAAAACAGTAAAGAAATGAAATGAAAGATGAATCAAAAAGTAAAATGAAAGAGTAAAGAGAATATGAAACAAATTTGAACAAAAACAACTTGAATTTATAAACTTCATAGCATTATTCATACAAGAAGCTCCATAAATAAACTTGAGAATTGAGCTAAAGAAATTTGAAAATTAACTTGTGATTCAAAACTTAACTTATGTTTTTCGGTCTTCAAAGACTTATTTATATAACAACAAAAGTATACAAATCGAATAAGGCCCATTTGAGGCCCAAAGTTACATAATAGAACTTAAACAACATTTTGCAGAAATGAGATTGGACGTGTTTCACTTAGCGGATGTGCACTCACTCAGCAGATTCTTCAATTTCTAAAAGGAGCTCTTTGGACTGATTTCGCAAAACAGATTAAAAAGCGCTCAACATATTTCATTGAATTTACGTATAATTTCTTTAATTTATCATTTATGCAAAAGTAAACAAATGATTAGCTAAAACATTTTTCTGCAACGTTCGTTCTCTGAAAAAGCCTTCTTCTGCTACGTTCGTTCTCTGAAACAGTCTTCTGCAACGTTCGTTCTCTAAAACAGTCTTCTACAACGTTCGTTCTCTGAAACAGTCTTCTGCAACGTTCGTTCTATTAAACATTCTTTTGCAACGTTCATTCTCTAAAACAGTCATCTGCAACGTTCTCTAAAATAGTCATCTACAACGTTCTTTGAAACAATCATCCGCAGCGTTCTCTAAAACGAGTCATTCGCAACGTTCTACAGTAACGATCAAAGCAGTCATCTGCAATGAGTCCCTTAAATGGTCTTACGCAACGTTGTGCATTATCTAAAAGCAGTCTTACGCAGCGTTGTTCGTTCTACAAAGCGATCATTCGCAGCGTTCTCGAAGCGATCATCCGTAACGTTCTGCGAAACAATCATCTGCAGCGTTCTCCGAAACAATCTTCCGCAACATTCTTCGAAATAGTCTTCGCAATGTTCTCTGAAACGACCATCTCGCAATGTTATCTAAAGCGTTCTCTCAAATGAGCCATCGAAACGTTCTCCGAAGCAGATCATCTACAATGTTCTCCGAAATAGTCATCGAACATGTCTTACGCAATGTTCTTCGAAGCAGTCTTACGCAGCGTTCTACGTTCTTCAAAGCGATCATCTAAATGATCACTGCAACATTCTCTAAAAGCAGTCATCCACAGCGTTATCCGAAACAGATCATTTGAAACGTTCTCCGAAGCGACATCTACAACGTTCTGCAAGCATGATCATCTACAACGTTACGTGAAACGATCTTACGCAACATTCTCGCAAGCGGTCATCTGCAGCGTTCTCGAAACAATCTTACGCAACGTTCTCGAAATAGTCTTCCGCAATGTTCTACGAAGCGATCATCCGCAACGTTATACGAACGTTCTCTCAAGCTGATCATCGAAGCGTTCTCCGAAGCGATCATCTGAAATGATTCTTCGCAATGTTCTTCAAAGCTGTCTTCGCAGCGTTCTACGTTCTGCAAAGCTGATCATCGAAGCGATCATCTGCAACATTCTCTAAAGCAGTCATCCGCAGCGTTATTCAGAATGATCATTTGAAACGTTCTTCAAAGCTAGATCATCTACAACGTTCTCGAAACTGATCATCTACAACGTTACGTGAAGCTGTCTTACGCAATGTTCTTCGAATGCAGTCTTACTGCAATAGTCTCAAAGCTGTCTTACGCAATGTTCTCGAAATAGTCTTCTGCAATGTTCTCCGAAGCAGTCTTTTGCAGCGTTCTCGAAATAGTAATTTGCAACGTCATTCGAAATGATCTCGCGATGTTCTGCAAAGCGATCATCTGCAGCGTTCTTCGAAGCAGTCTTACACAGCGTTCTTCAAAGCAGTCTTACGCAGCGTTCTGCGAAGCGGTCTTCTACAATTGAAATAGTGATCTGCAACGTTCTCTGAAACAGTGATCTGCAACGTTCTCTGAAATAGTCATCTGCAACGTTCTCTAAAATAGTCATCTGCAACATTTTCTGAAACATTCATTTGCAACGTTTTCTAAAATAGTCATCTGCAACGTTTTCTGAAACAGTCATTTGCAACGTTCTCTGAAACAATCTCTACAACATTCTCTGAAACAGTCAATGCAACGTTCTCTGAAACGGTCATCTCCAGCGTTATCTGAAACAGACTTCTGCAACGTTCTACGTTCTCTAAAACAGTCACTGAAATAGTCATCTGAAACATTCTCTAAAACAGTCATAAGCAACGTTCTCGAAGCAGATCATTTGAAACGTTCTTCAAAGCGATCATCTACAACGTTCTGCAAAGCTGATCATCTACAACGTTCTTTGAAACAGTCTTCTGCAACGTTTTTTGAAACAGTCTTCTGCAGCAGTCTCTGAAACAATCTTCTGCAATGTTCTCTGAATCGGTCTTACGCAATGTTCTCTCGAATCGAGTCATACGCAGCGTTCTTCGAAATAGTCATCTGCAATGTCATTCAAAGCGGTCTACGCAGCGTTCTACGAAGCAGATCATCGCAGCGTTCTCGAAGCTTGATCTTACAGCGTTCTCAAAGCAGTCTTCTACAATTGAAATAGTGATTCGCAGCGTTCTCGAAGCGTTGATCTGCAGCGTTCTTTGAAATAGTCATCTGCGGCGTTCTTTGAAACTGGTCTTCTCGCAGTAGTCTACGAAACAATCTTACGCAATGTTCTTCGAAGCTGATCTTACGCAACGTTTCTGCAAAGCGGTCTTACGCAACATTCTTCGAAATAGTCATTCTGCAGCGACATCTCAAATCAGTCTTCTGCAGCGTTCTACGAAGCAGATCATTCGCAGCGTTCTACGAAGTGAGTCTTTCGCAGCGTTCTCGAAAGCAGTCTTCTACAATTGAAATAGTGATTCGCAGCGTTCTCTAAAACAATGATCTGCAACGTTCTCTGAAATAGTCATCTGCAACGTTCTCTAAAATAGTCATCTGCAACGTTTTCTGAAACATTCATTTGCAACGTTCTCTAAAATAGTCATCTGCAACGTTTTCTGAAACAGTCATTTGCAACGTTCTCTGAAACAGTCTCTGCAACATTCTCTGAAATAGTCAATGCAACGTTCTCTGAAACAGTCATCTCCAAAGTAATCTGAAAAGTCATTGAAACAGTCTTCCGCAACTTTCTCTGAAACAATCTTCTGCAACGTTCTCTGAAACAATCTTTTGCAACGTTATCTGAAACAGTCTTCAGCAACGTTCTCTGAAACAGTCTTCTACAATTGAAACAGTCTTCTGCAACGTTCTCTGAAACTGCCATCTGCAACGTTCTTTGAAATAGAGATTTGCAACGTTCTCTGAAATAGTTATTTGCAACGTTCTCTGAAATAGTTATCTGCAGCGTTCTCGAAACGTTGATTCACAGCGTTCTCTAAACATGATCCTAAGCGAGTCACTGCAGCGTTCTACGAAGCGTTCATCAAGCTAGATCATTCAAGCGTTCTCACAGCGTTCTCGACATGATCATCTGCAGACATTCTTCGAAGCTAGTCTTACGCAATCAAAGCTGATCTTACGCAACATTTTTCAAAGCTAGATCATACATAGCGTTCTGCAAAGCTTGATCTTCTACAATTGAAACGATCTTCTACAACGTTCTCGAAATAGTAATTTGCAACGTTCTCGAAATAGTTATTTGCAACGTTCTCCGAAATAGTTATATGCAACTTCTACGAAAGCTCGATCGAAATAGTCATCTGCAGCGTTCTGCAAAGCAGTCATCTGCAAGCGTTCTCCGAAGCGGTCTTACGCAACGTTATATGAAACGAGTCATGCATAGCGTTCTTCAAAGCAGTTTACGAATGTTCTTCAAATTGATCATCTTCAACGTTCTTCAAAGCAGTCATCAAAGCGATCTTACGCAACATTTTACGAAGCTAGATCATACAGTAGCGTTCTTCAAAGCAGTCTTCTACAATTGAAACGATCTTCTACAACGTTCTCTGAAGCTGTCATCTACAACATTCTCTGAAATAGTAATTTGCAACGTTCTCTGAAATAGTTATTTGCAACGTTCTCTGAAATAGTTATATGCAACGTTCTCTGAAACAATGATCTGCAGCGTTCTCCGAAATAGTCATCAAGCATGATCATTCGCAGCGTTCTCAGAAGCAGTCATTCGAAGCGTTCTGCAAAGCGATCATCGCAGCGTTCTCGAAGCGGTCATCTGCATGACATTCTCCGAAGCTGATCATCTGCAGCGTTCTACGAAATAGTCTTACGTAGCGTTATCCGAAATAGTCATGCAGTAGCGTTCTGCAAAGCGGTTTACGCAATGTTCTTCAAAGCTTGATCATCTTCAGCGTTCTTCGAAGCAGTCATCGAAACGACCTTACAGCAACTAAAACAATCATCTGCAACGTTCTCTGAAACAGTGATCTGCAATGTTCTCTGAAATAGTCTTCTGTAATATTCTCTAAAACAGTCTTCTGCAACGTTCTCTGAAGCAATCTCTACAACGTTCTCTAAAACAGTCAATGCAACGTTCTCTGAAATAGTCAATGCAACGTTCTGCAAAGCTGATCAATGCAACGTTCTTCAAAGCGATCATCTGCAACGTTCTACGAAGCTGATCATCCGCAGCGTTATTCGAAACAATCATTGTAACAGTCTTTTGCAACTTTCTATGAAACAATCTTCTACAACGTTCTCTGAAACAATCTTCTACAACGTTATCTGAAACAGTCTTCAGCAACGTTCTCTGAAACAGTCTTCTGCAACGTTCTCTGGAAACTATCATCTACAACGTTCTCTGAAATAGTTATTTGCAACGTTCTCTGAAATAGTTATTTGCAACGTTCTCTTAAATACTTATCTGCAGCGTCCTCCGAAGCATTGATCTGCAGCGTTCTCCGAAATAGTCACCGAAACGAGTCATCCGCAGCGTTCTACGAAGCTAGATCATCTAAAGCGTTCTACAAAGCGATTATCGAAACGCTCTCTAAAACATTCTCAAAGCGATTATTCAAAGCGTTCTCAAAACATTCTCACAAGCTGATCATCTGCAACATTCTCCGAAACTTTCTCGAAATAGTCTTCGCAATCGAAATGAGTCCTCTGCAGCGTTCTCCGAAATAGTCATCTGCAATGTTCTCTGAAACAGTCATCTGCAATGTTCTCTAAAATAGTGATCTGCAACGTTCTCTGAAATAGTTATCTGTAACATTCTCTGAAATAATCATTTGCAACTTTCTCTTAAACGAGTCATCCGTAACGTTCTACGAAATGCATCTCGCAATGTTCTCACGAAGCGGTCATCGAAGCTGATCATCTTCAACGTTCTCGAAATAGTCTACGAAATAGTCTTCTACAACTCGAAATAGTCATCTCGCAGCGTTCTCGAAGCGTTGATCTGCAATGTTCTCCGAAATAGTCTTCAGCAGCGTTCTCACGAAGCGATGTTCGCAGCGTTCTCAAAGCTGATCTTCGCAGCGTTCTGCAAAGCTGATCATCTGCAACGTTCTATGAAACGATGGATCGAAGCGTTCTGCAAAGCTTGATCAAAGCGTTCTCTGCAATGTTTTTTGAAACAGTCTTCCGCAACATTCCTTGAAACAGTCTTCCGCAACGTTCTCTGAAACAATCTTCTGCAATGTTCTCTGAAACAATCTTCTGCAACGTTCTATGTTCTCTGAAATAGTCACTGAAACAATCATCTGCAACGTTCTCTGAAACAGTCATCTACAACGTTCTTCAAAGCAGCTCTCGCAACGTTCTTCAAAGCTGAGTCTACGCAACGTTCTTGGAAATAGTCTGCAAATGCAGTCCTCGCAATGTTCTTCAAAATAGTCTCGAAATAGTCATCTCGCAATGTTCTTCAAAACGAGTCACTAAAATAGTCATCTCGCAACGTTCTACAAAGCGATCATCGAAATTGTCTTCCGCAACGTTCTCAAAGCTGATCATCGAAGCGCAATGTTCTTCGAAACAATCATCGAAACAGCTTTTCGCAACGTTCTTCGCAAGCGTTCTCATAGCGTTCTTCGCAGCGTTCTCAGAGCTGATCTTACGCAGCGTTCTCTGAGCGATCTTTTACAACGTTCTCTGAAATAGTCTTCTGCAACGTTCTCTGAAAAGGTCATTGCAACGTTCTCTGAAAAGGTCATTGCAATGTTCTCTGAAACAGTCTCTGAAACGTTCTCTGAAACAGTCATCTGCAACATTCTCTGAAATAGTCTCTGCAACGTTCTCTGAAATAGTTTTCTGCAATGTTCTACGTTCTCTGAAACAGTCTTCTGCAATGTTCTACTTTCTCTGAAACAGTCTTCTGCAATGTACGTTCTTTGAAACAGTCTTCTGCAATGTACGTTCTTTGAAACAGTCACTGAAAGAGTCATCTGCAACGTTCTCTAAAATAGTCATCTCGTAACGTTCTCCAAACGATGGATCGAAACAAACTTCGCAACGGTCTCGAAGCTGCAACATTCTTCAAATGAGCCATCAAATCGCAACGTTCTTCAAAGCGATCTTACGCAACGTTTTCGAAATAGTCTTCTGCAACATTCTCTAAAAGCAGTCTTTTGCTTCTCAAAGCAGTTTTCTACAACGTTCTACGTTCTTCGAAATAGATCATTCGCAACATTCTCGCAAACCGTCTTCGTAACGTTCTTCAAACAGCTCTCGCAACGTTCTCAAAGCAATTGAAACAGGTCATCCGCAACGTTCTGCAAATGATCATTCGCAACGTTCTCTAAAGCATGTTTTCTACAATGGTCTTCGAAATGATCCTCGCAGCGTTCTTCAAAGCGGTCTTACGCAGCGTTCTTCGAAACGGTCTTCGTAACGTTCTCAAACGATAATTACAATTGTCTCTGAAACAATGTTCTGCAACGTTCTCTGAAACAGTCTTCTACAACATTTTTCTGAAACTGTCATCTGCAACGTTCTATGAAATAGTGAGTCAAACGTTCTCCGCAATGTTCTTTGAAACAGCTCTTCCGCAACATTCTCTTAAGCAGTCTTCCGTAACGTTCTCGAAACAATCTTCGCAACGTTCTCGAAACAATCTTCTCGCAACGTTCTATGTTCTCCGAAATAGTCACTGAAACAGTCTTCTGTAACGTTCTCTGAAACAGTAATTACAATTGTCTCTGAAACAATGTTCTGCAACGTTCTCTGAAACAGTCTTCTACAACATTTTTCTGAAACTGTCATCTGCAACGTTCTATGAAATAGTGACTGAAACGTTCTCTGCAATGTTCTTTGAAACAGTCTTCCGCAACATTCTCTTAAACAGTCTTCTGCAACGTTCTCTGAAACAATCTTCTGCAACATTCTCTGAAACAATCTTCTGCAACGTTCTATGTTCTCTGAAATAGTCACTGAAACAATCATCTGCAACGTTCTCTGAAACAGTCATCTACAACGTTCTCTAAAACAGCCTCTGCAACGTTCTCTGAAATAGTCTCTGCAACGTTCTTGAAAATAGTCTCTGAAACGTTCTTGAAAATAGTCTCTGAAACAGTCTCAGTAACGTTCTTCAAAATAGTCTCTGAAATAGTCATCTGCAATGTTCTTCGAAACAGTCACTGAAATAGTCATCTGCAACGTTCTCTGAAACAGTCACTGAAATAGTCTTCTGCAACATTCTCTGAAACAATCACTGAAACTGCAATGTTCTCTGAAACAATCACTGAAACTGCAATGTTCTCTGAAACAATCACTGAAACAATTTTCCGCAACGTTCTCTAAAACCGTCTTTACGTCAACGTTCTCGAAGCGAGTCTTCGAACGCTTCGAATAGTCTTCAAGAACGTTCTCACGAAATAGTCTTCGACGAACATTCTTCAAACATGATCTTTTGCAACGTTCTTCGAAATGGTCATTGCAACGTTCTCTGAAACGTTCGCTGAAACAGTCATCTGCAACATTCTTTGAAATAGTCTCTGCAACATTCTCTGAAACAGTCTTCTGCAATGTTCTACGTTCTCTGAAACAGTCATTGAAAGAGTCATCTGCAACGTTTCTGCAAATGCGATCAGTACAGCGTTCTGCAAATGATCTACGCAACATTCTTCAAAGCGAGAATAGCCATTCGCAGCGTTCTTCGAAGCATGACAGTCATACTGCAGCGTTCTTCAAAGCGAGTCTTCAAATAGCGTTCAAGCATGTTCTCGAATGCTTTTTGCAACATTCTTCGAAATGGTCTTTTGCAACGTTCTGCAAACTGATCATTGCAACGTTCTCTGAAACGGTCATTGCAACGTTCTCTGAAATGGTCATTGCAACGTTCTCTGAAACGTTCGTTGAAACAGTCATCTGCAACATTCTTTGAAATAGTCTCTGCAACATTCTCTGAAACAGTCTTCTGCAATGTTCTACGTTCTCTGAAACAGTCATTGAAAGAGTCATCTCGCAACGTTCTTCAAATGCAGTCATCTGCAGCGTTCTCAAAGCTGGTCTACGCAACATTCTTCAAATGCGAATACTGATCATTCGCAACGTTTTCTAAAATGAGTCATTCGCAAGCGTTCTCAAAGCTGATGATCGAAACAATCTTCTGCAACGGTCTTCGAAATCGCAACATTCTCAAATGCTTGATCTTCGTAACGTTCTCGAAACATTCTTCAAAGCAGTTTCGCAACGTTCTACGAAATAGTCATTGTAACGTTCTTCAAATGATCATGTGCAACGTTCTTCGAAATAGTCATTTGTAACGTTTCTATAATGATTTTCTACAACGGTCTTCGAAATAGTCGTTTACAACGTTCTTCAAACGGTCTTACGTAACGTTCTCGAAACAGTCTTTACAATTGTCTTCAAATGATCTTACAGCAATCGGTCTGCAAAGCGGTCTTACGTAACGTGTGAGAACACATTCTCTGAAATGGTATTCTGCAACGTGTGAGAACACGTTCTCTCTGAAACGAACTTCTGCAACGGGTGAGAATACGTTCTCTGTTTTGCAATACCCCTTAATTTACAACATTTGATGTGTGGCTGTCTTTCCTTTATATAGATAACCCTAATCCTAATTTTAATTTAGGTTTGGGTCGAACGGGCCCACAAAACATATCATAAAAAAATAAAAACAAAAAAACTAATTTTAATAGACAGTTGATATGACATCTGACCCAATCTTCTAGTCCAAAATTGCTTTAAACTGTATAATATAAAATATGGCATTTGACTCAATCTTCCAAACCCAAAATTGTTTTAAATTGTCCTGAAAATAATAATGAACAAAAATTAGATCAAATAAATCCAATTTAATTGAAATCGAATTATTAGTCTAATGAAGCCCAATTAATAAAAAATTATTAATAAGTATCGAAAGTTAAGAAAATATGGGAATATAATGACTCATCAAATACCAATGTTGATTTTTTATTATTTAGGTGCAATTTTTTTAAAAATTTACTAAAATAAATCAATTTAAAAAAAATACAAAATTGAGTAATGGAAATGACTTTGATATAAATATATTTTTTTAAAATTTTAGATAGAAGTCGTAGACTTATATAATATATAGAAGTCCAACTTCTTTTTTCTTTAATAATTTATTATCATTATTTATTATTATAAATCAATAAAAAAATATAATAATATTTTATATTATTAATACATTTAATAATAGTTATTATTATTTTTTATAAAATAAATAATAATAATTATGTTATATTCTTTATATATTTAAAAATAATTATTAATATATTATATTATTTTATTGATATTATTATAATTCATAATAAAATAAAAATAATATTTTGTTATTAATAAAATAATAATAATTATACAATTAAATTATTATTAATAATATTGATTAATAATTATAATTATAAAAAAATAATTATTATTAATTTTATTATGAATAATAATATATTATTAAATAAATAAAATATTTTATTAATATATTATTAAATCAATAATCAATATTAATAAATTATTAAATAAAAACATAATAATACATATATTATTAATATATTTATTAATAATCATTAATCTTGTATTATTATATTATTTTATTAGTATTATGATTATAATTCATAATAAAATAATAATAATAATATTTTTCTTAATAACATTAATAAGAAAATTAAATTAATAATAATAGATTATAAAAATTAAAATAAAAAAAAGCATTATTTTTTTATTTTTATTATGATTAATAAGAACAATATTAATAAAATAATATAATAATAGCTTAATAATTATTTCTAATTAGATAAATACTATAATATAATTACTTATTTGTTTTATTAAAACTAATAATAAAAATTATTGTTTTTCATTATATTTTTATTTAATTATAATAATAATAAATTATTAAAAAATAACAAAAAAATGAAAGTCGTATTATATATAAAAATTATATTATATAATTTAATTTCTACCTAAATTAAAAAAAATTATATCTTTCAAATACCATTTTCTTAGTTTTGAAATCGTAATAATGTAATTTACTCAATTTTATAATTTTTTAAAATTATATAATTTTAATAAAAAAATACACTAGGTTCTAATCAAACCGACCTACCCACAGCATGTGGTGTGAAGGGAGGATACGTTGCTGGTTCTTTCATTGGTGAGACATGAGCCAAGGAAAAGGTGGTGCACATGATTTGGACAGGAATCCTAAAATCTTGTCACTCTGAAACTACCACACATTTAAATCTTATTGGTCCAACACAAGATTCCCTCAAACAAACTCCAAAAGAAATTAATTTTTCCTTTAAAAGATTTATATTCTTACCATTATTCATAGTTTATTGTCCACTGTTAGACTTGGTTTGATTAAAAAAAAATTCAGTGTTTAAGAAAGATGATTTACGAGCACTTGAAAACATTCATGAATGTATAATGTGGTGTAAGGTGGAGGGAAAGTAAAAAATAAAACAAGATAATATCGTGAGGATTATTTATCTATAAATAAGTTTTTTTTTTTATATTTAACGAACTTTTTTTACCATTTTTATTCTATCAAAATATTTAAATATTTTAACAAAATATCTAAAAAATTGTCATTATATTAAAAAATAATTAACCATATAATCAAATCAATTATATAATCTATCAATTTATTTATTTATTTTCATTATTTTTCCGTTAAACCAAATAAAATCACTTCTCAATCGAATTGTTTTTTTTTTAATTATTTCAATTTCATTCCCTTCTTTCCATCCACTAAACTCTATTTTTTTAATGTAATTTATTTCATACATAAAAATAAAATTACTATTATCTGAATTAATACTGTAAAAGACATAAACTATTCCCGTCATTCAAGTAAATTCTTATAATTTTAAACAGTAATTTATATCCTTTACGTTGTTTCTCATCGACATTTTAACACTTCTTCTATTTTTCTTTAATTTTAATAAAAGTGTAATGGCTAAAAGTAAATAACAAACGTAATTAAAATTTTATGTTTTTAAAATTGTGAAAAGGTAAATTAATAGAAAAAATACATTAAAAAGGATCATTAGAAATAAAAGAATATTTAATAATATAGTTAGCAATGCATTTCATGACAATTTAGAGGTAAAAGAAGATAAAATCAGCCAATGAGTCCAATTTATCAATAATATATTTGGATTTTGTAAGAACGTACAAAAGTATTAAATAATTAAATAATAAGAATTTTAAATTTAAATTTGCATACAAACATTATATATATATATATATATATATATATATATATATATATATATATATCCCGTGAATCAGTTCAACCTATGTTCTTTATGTTGTTCGCTATTTGAAAGGAAATCCTAGATAAAATATTATATTAGATAGTTCTAATAATATCAAATTTTATAGATGGTGTGACATAAATAGGGCGGCATGTTCTCTCAGTCGTAGGTCTTTTATAAATTGGGTTATTTTTTTTGGGGAATTCAATTATTTCTTGGAAGACAGATAAACAACATATAATATTTTATTCCTCGACTGCATAATATTGTTCAATGATTATTACCACAATTAAACTAAAATAGGTGAAAAATATTCTCTCTACCATTAATATTTTTCATTCCAAGTCAATGTTCTTTATTGTGATAGTCAAACTACTTTACACATAATTAAGAATCTCACGTTTTGTAAACACACCAAACATACCTGGATTGTCATTTTTGTTCGTAATAAAATACTACATGGACACTTATAATCATTTTATATTCTCACTCGTGTATAATTTGTAAACATACTTATCAAAAGCTTTAGAATAACGTACATAATTTTCTATCTTGATTGACAAATTATGCATTTAAAATATTCATGTACTTGAGAGAGGGTATAATAGATATTGCAAACTAAATTCAAATTGTGACATGATCTCTGTCAATTAATTGTGATTAATTCTATATTATAGACATTATAGAAGAATTGTGACTAATAGAATGTATGACCATTAAAAATTAGTTATGATTAATTCTAATTATTCAATATTCTCATTTTCTATAATAAACTAAGAGAATTTATAAGAAATTTATATATTAATTTATTATAATAATTAAATAAAATTCATAAAAGAATTTAAGCTCTAATTTAATAACGATTTAATATAATATTATATATTTAACCTAAAAAAATAACAAAATATTTTCTCAAAATTATTAACAATATGTATATAAGAAAATGAAAAAAGATATAGAATATATGTGTATATTAAGAAATGTTTTACTATATTTAATGTATTACACCATTCATTTTATCATAATCTTTCAATATTAATATTATATGAAATATATATATATATATATAAAATTTATTTTTAAAACCTAATAAATAGCTAATTTATATATTTTTTAAATTTTTTTAAAATATTAGAATTGATATATTAAAATAAAAAATATTATAATTTTAAATATTATAACTTTTGTATATTATATTATTTTAAAAATGTAAATTTGCAATATGGATATAATTTAAATAGTTTAATAGGTAAAAATAATAATATTTTTATTGATTTAATTAATTAATTATTTAAGACTTAAAAAATGTTTATATGCTTAGGTTTGTTTGTTTTTTAAAATAAATCTAATGAGTTAACACCAACCTACGGGAGTTAGCTGAGACCGACCAACTTTTGATGGGTACGAATGAAAATGAAGTTAGTTTTTTTATAAACTGAAAGTAACTAACTCCTAACTAAATTGTCTAATTTTTAGCATATATTTTTAGTGTTTGTTTTTTTAAATTATACATAAAGTAATCGTCCATTATAAAAAAAGTTAAATTCGTTATCTTCTCCTTATTTTCTTCCAATAAAACTCTTGCCGCCATACCCATCTTTGAAAGAAAAAAAAAAAAAATCTTCTATAAAGTACTTCGTATCAGCAACAACCATTAACTAAACTAAAAGAAATGGGTATAATTCCTTCCGACGGCACACGTTCCCACGTTCTTCTTTTCCCTTTCATGTCCAAAGGGCACACCATACCCCTTCTCCATTTCGCCAAAATGCTCCTCCATCGTTCCATATCGGTCACCGTCGTCACAACCCCCGCCAACTATCCTTTCATCAAGGAGTCCCTAACCGGAACCTCCGCCTCCGTGGTCACGCTTCCCTTCCCCCCCGCCACAAACATCCCCGTTGGAGTTGAGAGCACGGACAAGCTTCCCTCCATGTCCCTCTTCTTCGAGTTCGCCACTGCCACATCAGCGATGCAACCACACTTCGAACATCTCCTCCATACCCTTCCATGTGTCAACTTCATGGTCACCGACGGCTTCCTCTGGTGGACCCTGGACTCAGCCACCACGTTTGGAATTCCCAGGTTCGTCTACTATGGGATGAACTGCCAGAGTGCAAGCCTTTCCATTGAAGCAATGAGGGAGGGGATTCTGTATGGGTCCCAACCCGACCACGAGTTAGTCGTGTTGACTCGGTTCCCGTGGATTAGACTCTGCAAAGAACACTTTGACCCCTCCTTCAGAAACCCTAACCCCAGTAGTCTATCACACGTGTTCCTCATGAAACTTATGTTATCCTCACAACGTAGTCATGGCATGTTGGTTAACAGCTTCTACGAGCTTGAGTCTACCTTCGTTGATTACTTGAACGCGGAGTCTTCTCCTAAACATTGGTGCGTTGGCCCTCTCTGTTTGGCTGAATGGACACCAAAGGTTTACTCTGATGAAGGTGGGAAACCAACGTGGATTAGGTGGCTGGACCAGAAACTGGAAGAGAAGTGCCATGTTGTGTACGTGGCGTTTGGATCGCAAGCTGAGATTTCTCCTGAGCAACTGGAAGAGATAGCATTAGGGTTGGAGGAGTCGGAGGTGAGTTTCCTGTGGGTGATGAGAAGGGAGGGGTGGGTTGCACCTGAGGGGTTTGAAGAAAGAGTGAAGGGGAGAGGGATTGTGGTGAGAGAGTGGGTGGATCAGATAGAGATTCTGATGCACGGGAGTGTGGAAGGGTTTGTGAGCCATTGTGGTTGGAACTCGGTGCTGGAGAGCCTGTGTGCTGGGGTTCCTATTGTCGCGTGGCCAATTATGGCAGAGCAGTTTTTGAACGCGGTAATGGTGGAGGAGGATGTGAAGGTAGGGTTTAGGGTGGAAACCTGTGATGGGTCAGTGAGAGGGTTTGTGAAAAGAGAAGAGCTGAAGAAGTCCCTGAGGGAGATGATGAAAGGGGAGAAAGGGAGAAAAGCAAGAGAGAAGATGAGGAGATTGGCTCAGATGGCCAAAATGGCTACTCAAGTAGGTGGCTCATCTTGGTCCACCCTACGGTCACTCCTTAATGAGACATGTCCTTGTCCAGATAAAAAGTGATTTCAGTTCAAACGTTAAAAGCATCAATAAATTCAACCTATGATGGTAACTTTTGTAGATAAACATCACAGAAGTAAGGGTTTGGTTATTTAATTCAAATAAGACCTGTCTATAATTTAATTCTAATTAGTTATTTATAAAAGGTTAGTAGTATGCTTTAGGCCTGGATTCTTTGGCCAGGGTTTTGTAAATATGTCATTATATTACTTTGTGTTAACATGGGTGAGATTATTCTGATTATCTGATTTTCAGTTCTTAAAATTTTGTCGGTGTACGAGTGATATCGGATATTAATATAGGTGAGATCTTTTACATTACTTCATTTTTAGGTCTTAAAAGTTGTATTGGTCTATGATTAATCTCAAAACTTGAGACTAAAACTGAGATTTTCTTTTTAAATATTACATAATCCCTTGGTATCAAGTCGCAGACTTTTAGACTAAAATTAATCTTTTCACATTAGTCATATATAAAATCCTTTATCTTGATATTACATATCGACTCAGTAAGACTCAACCTCACTGGAAGAGCATGACACTTAAATTTTATTTTTTTTTTGAACTAATTTTTTTAAAATATTTATATATATATATATATATATATATATATATATATATATAATTTTAATAAAGAAAATGAAAATTTTGGGGTGGTCATGACATCCATAAGCAACCTTTTGGTTCTCCACCTCCTATCTTAAACATTACGTAACCCCTCATTCTCTAATGGAAGTAAGTCTAAGTTTTTCTCCTTGGTCATATACTAAATCTTTGTCCAATAGTTAGAAATCACAATGAAGACTACATAGAATTATTATAGTTGTTAGAGACCATGACAAGGATCGCATAGGATCTCATCCCTCATTAGAGATCATGACAAGATCACATAAGGTCATTTATTAGAGACCATGATGAGAACCGTATAAGATCATTAAAGACCATGACGAGAACTACACAAGATCATGTCAGATCACACAAGCTCGTGCCTAACCTCACAAGATCGTAGCGAACCACATAGAATCATAGTGGATCACACATGTTCATGTCGAACCACACATGATCATAGTATATCTCATAGGGTTGTTGTCGACTACACAAGATCATGTTCAAACCACACAAAGTTACAAAGATCATGTCGGACCACATGGGGTCGTACATATTAGACCACATAAGACTATGTGGGTCAAAACTTGAGGACAAACCTACATAATATCAAAGTATACCAAAATCAGTCAATAATTAACCACCACTACTACAAAATATGTTTTCCACTTAAATTAGATAATTGTCACTGATAGGATTCAAACCCAGGTATTTTAGAGTTGAAAGTTGATACTCCAACCACTAAACTACTATAATTTTTTAATAATAACTTACAAATAAATTATATTTATATACAAATAAATATATATCCATGTAAATATATATTTATTTGTATACATTTTTCGGAAAGTGTTTTTATTTTTTTTTCAGAAAAAATTCACTAAGTTAAAGAATTTTCATTGACAAGATTCAAACCTAGTATTTTAAAATTGAAAGTTGATACTTCAACCACTAAACTACTATAATTTTATGATAATAACAAATAAATTATATTTATATACAAATAAATATATATTCGTGTAAATATATAAATATAAAATATATAAATACAAATATATTTATATATTTTGATATATGTATATATATTTCTATATTTATACATTGGATGTGAGGGTGCGTTCGAGGGTGAAAGTGAGATTGACTCTCGCTTGAGTGAAAATACGTTAAAACTCACAGAAATTCACTCGCTTGAGCGAAAATTGGTATTTTTCGTTTGAGCGAATATGTCGCTTGAGCGAATAACGCGTTTCCCAAATTTATTTTATATCATTATATAAATAAATTATAAAGATTATATTCTGTCATTAAATTACAAACTCATATAAAGATACTCACTCACAAATTTAACATCAAATTTTGAAAACCCACTCGACACACACTTCCACCTTCGAGTATGTCCTCGTATCCAACATATAAATAATAAATATATCAAAATATATAAATATATTTGTATTTATATATTTACACGGATATATATTTATTTATATATAAATATAATTTATTTGTAAATTATTATCAAAAAGTTCTAATAGTTTAGTGATTAGAGTATCGGTTTTCAACTCTAAGGTACTGAGTTCAAATCCTACTATTAACAATTCTTAATTAGAAAATTAACACCTAATTAAAATATAATATAAAAGAGAGGAGGGACTTCTAGATAAATTAAATAAAAATTATACTAGTACACAATTAATAATAAATTCAAAATATAATAATTTTATATATAAAAATATTTAAGTAAATATCTTATTTATTAATTTTGTCTTTATTAAATAGAAAATAATCATATATAATAAAATAAGATATATTTTTTACAACATTGTTTTTGAAAACACATTATTATTTTCTTTTTTGTTTTTTTAGTGAAAGTATAATTGTTAGAAGAATAAACAGTCTTAATGAAAATTATAATATATTATTATTTATATTAAATCTTTAAATTAAAGAATTAAATTATATTTTTAATTAACTTATTTTAAAAATATATAATCTTAAATAAAGTATATATATATATATATATATATATATATATATAACCTTTTTTTTCAACTGATTAATAAAATATTTGGTATAACTACTAGAAGTTCTCATATTTTATGAGAACATTTTTGCAATTTTTTTAACTAGTTATCATATTTCATGAGAATATTTTTACAATTTTTTATAAAAAATTGCAAAAAATAAGTTTCTCACAAATATAAATAATTTTTTACAAGAAAAATTGTAGGAAATAACTAACTTTTTAGTAAGTAAATAGATATATTATAATAATAATAAAATAAAATAAAATAAAAATAGACTTTAATTTTATAAGTTGTGTGCATATTGGTGATGTTTATGAAAATACTATTGCACCTTCGGACTACTTTGATATTAAAATTCTTTGAATTAGCACCTTGAAATTCTATCATTATACTCATTAAATAAATATTATTTCTCATAATAATGCAAAATTCTTACAGTTACGTTATTTTCTCTTTTCTCTACTTAAAATTACGCTATTTTCTCATTAAATAATTTGTTTTATATGATTATAATTATATTCAAAATTTCAACCTTATCATATATTCATAAATTATTACATAATTATATAAATTGATATTTCTTTTTAATGAATATAAATATATTATAAAAAATACTAGTGAATCGTAAAATAATTTTTAATAAATATATATTTACGTATACTTTTAGTTGATAATTAATTTAAAATTTTTAATAATATATTTATACATAATGCATAGTTTATTTTGATTTGATTCTAATTTAATTTTTAACAAAATTAAAATTAAAATTTTGGGTTGAGAAAAAAACGTTAAAAAATCCAAGATTTTTAATAGTTTTCAATTGTTGTTTTTTGGTTAGAAGGGTGTGGTCGGATTACTCGGCAGCTGTCTGTCACGCGCTGAGGCTACATTTCAAAATCAATTTCTACGGAGCTCGGTTTCCTGCGTGGGTGTCGGTGACAAGCCATGTGATGGATTTTCGAGTTATATTTTCAAGTTGGATGAAAAGAGGAGAGATTTGAAAAAAATTATTCTGACGAAAGAGTTATATGTTTAGAAAAGTAGTCATAGGATGATAGTTATTTTTTTTATTAGGGTCCTTATATAATAATAATAATAATAATAATAAATATTATATAAGATAATATTATATTATATTAAATATAAATAATAAATTATTAGATAATATGTAATTATAAAAATAAATATTTTTTAATATTTAATAAATATGAATTAGATAGATATACTTTAAGAATATTTTTTATTGTTTTCAAAAAATATTGGTACTCACATTTTTGTTATAACGTAATTTTAAACTTTTTTCTAATGAGTTGTATTGTATTAAATATAAAATTATTAGGTTAGAATATGAGATTTATGGTGATAGATTATAATTTAGATGAGATTTAATTGATTACACTACTTTAAATATCTTGATTCTCGTTATTTGGGATTTATGACGATAAATCATAATTTTTTGCGAGATTTTCAGAATCGTACTACTAAAAGAAAATATTGTATCATGATCGAATTGTTGGATCAATCACACGATGAGGTCATTTATTTAGACACCACATAGTCCTTAGTCTCAAGTCATTGATGCCTTAAGGCTCAAGATAGATCAAGTAACCGCGTTATTATGTTATCATGCGGTTATAAGACAATACCATTCATTCGAATATCACATAGTCCCCAACCTCAAGTCACGAATATTAAGGTCTAGGTTGGTTATTTACAACAATATTATGTCGAGTTGCTTGACTCGACTATTATACTAATAATATATTGGCCTCAAATAATTATTATAAGTAGATTGATCCCAAAGGGACATAGAGTGATCGACCTCAAAGGGTCATTGTATAGCGTCATCCAACCTTAAAGAGTCATTGTATAAAATCGTCCAACCTCAAAGGATTATCGTGTAAGGTCATCCGACCTTAAAGAGTCATTGTATAGAATCGTCCAACCTCAAAGGATTATCGTGTAGGATCATCCGACCTTAAAGAGTCATCGTATAGAGTCGTCCGACCTCAAATGGTCATCGTGTAGAGTCGTCTTACCTTAAAAAGTCATCTTGTAAAGTCATTTGACCTTAAAAAGTCATTGTGTAGAGTCATCCGACCTTAAATGGTTATCATGTCGGTCAAAGCTTTAGGGCAAACCTTATTCATAAAAGTCTTCTACATATCAAAGTTTAATTAATTGTTGGCAACTGTAACATTGCGAAGTCTCATGACAATGAACCTCATTTCTTCGATGATGTTGTTGGTTTCTTCGATATCTACCTCTTCCACTTCTTGAGCACGAAGTTAGTTTTGTTGTTGTAATAGACAACCTACAAATGCAATTGTAGTTATTTTGAAGTGAGGTTGAGAGTGAAAAATAAAGATGTCTG